AGCTACAAACACCTGCTCACCCAGGACAAAGCAGGTGGGAGTGAGAGTGCTGTGACGACTGAAAAGCTGAGTTGGATCTGGAGAGATGCTCAGTGGTTAAGAGATGTGCAAACGTGAGGGCCTGAGTTCAAATCCCCAGCACCCATATAAAAGCCCAGGTATTGAGGTTCATATCTGTAAACCTAGTACTAGGCAGTGAGTGTGTGTGGGATGAAGATAGTGTTAGAGACAGATGCATCCTGGGGCCTTTCTGGCCAGCAAGTCTAGCAAAACACTGAACTCCAGGTTTAGTGACAGGCAATATATATATACGGAGAGTAATATAGGAAAGATACCCAATGTCAACCTCTGGCACACAGATGTGTGCATGAGGGAGTGTGCCTGACATCCCCTACCCCTACCATGGGGGAAAATGAAAGAAAAAATCCAAATTTATGGTTAGATGTCTTCCTGAGAAAGACTCTCTGGGACAGATGATCTCACTGGAAAATTGCAGCAAATGTTAAAAAAAAAAAACAGCAGCAGTAGCAGAAGCAATGGTGATGAGGATGTGGGTTGGTTAAGAGAATAGAAAAGCAGAGGACATTCCCCATGCATTTAACGAAGGCAGCATTGCATTGACACCAAACCCAGATACTACATCTGGACTTACTAGTGTCTCCCGAGTGTGAAGTCTGCCAGCCACTGTCCAGCTGCTGTGACTGTATTGCCTGGAAGCCACGGCCCATGAGAGGAAGGATTATCAGCCTTGACTCATGGTCTCAGTTCATCGTGGCTTTGAAGGCCTTGCAGAGCCTCCCCCATCACTGTAGATCAGAAGGCAGAGAGGGCCGTGGAGCTCGGGGCAGCCATCACCTGCATGAGCCCTGCTCTCACGGGCTACTTTTGCTAACCAGGCCCCCCACCTCCTAGAAATTCCACAGCCTCCCAAAATAGCACCCCCAGCCGGGGAAGAAGTGCTTCAATCCAGACTCTGTGGGGGACACTTCAGACCAAAATTCCCAGGAAAATATTAACAAATTGTACGCACATGCACACACAATTTACAAACACATGGGTGACATTTAGCCTCAGAATGCAGGATCAATTAAACATTTAAAAGTAAGTATGTATATTTACTATATAACTGTCTGAAGAGGAGAAAATATTTGGTAATATCACTGACACAGAAAAAGTAATTGTGTGTGTGTGTGTGTTTGTGCGTGTGTGTGAGCGCGCGTGCACTCGCGCTCATATGGTCAAGACTAATTGTACCTGAAGTTGGGGGGGAGATGGGGAAGGGGGTACTAGGGAAGTAGGAGGAAGGTAGTGGCAGCTGGTTATGACGAATATGCATCATATAAATGTACGAAACTTTTGAAGAATAAAAAATGGAATAAAAAATATAGCTTGAGGTTTGACTCAGTGGTTAAGGTCACTTGTTACTTTTGCAGAGGACCTGGGTTTGGTTCCCAGCATCCACATGATGGCTCACAGCCATTCATAATATCCAGGGGGATCTGCTGACCTTTTCTAACTTCTGTGGGCACTGGGCATACACATGGTGCAATACATGCATGCAGGAAAACCCCTCATATTCATCAAATAAAACAAACAGATCTAAAGAAAATACATGAAATCAAATCCCCAAAGAAGATGGGAAATAAAAATAAACCATGCTGGGGTTGCTAAGAGCAGCTGTAAGTTAAGTTGTAATTTTGTTACTGTGCCTAATTTATAAAAATAAAGTTAAAAGTTGATGGAGCAATATTTAAAAAATTATTGAACTGACAATTGTATAGTGTCATAGGGCAAAACATGATGGCTCAATGCACTATGAAATATTTAAATTACATTAATTAGAATATTTATCATCTCACAAATTTATTGTTTATTGTGGTAGAACATCTAAAAATGTACTCTTTTAACAATTCGCAGGCATACCGGACATCATCACTAACTATGGTCACTGTGCCTTGTAGTGGGTCACTAAGGGTTTACTCTTGCCTACCTCCATCTTACCTTTCTCAGCATCTCATGAGCACTGGACCAAGGCACAGAAAGGGAGAAAAAAAAACCTCTTGAACCCTAGCAAAACAAACAGCTTTGGATGGAAAGACAAGCTAAAGACAACAGAATATTTTCAAATAGTTTTTGGGATGTGAGAAGCAAGAAAATTCAAAAGACTGGCAGAAGCAAACATTTTTATTTTATTTTTTATTCTCAGAAATGGAGTGCTGGGGAGGCAGAGGCAGGCGGATCTCTGTGAATTTGAGGTCAACCTGGTCTACAGAGTGAGTTCCAGGACAGCTAGGACTGTTTCACAGAGACACCCTGTCTTGAAAAACAAACAAACAAACAAACAAACACCAACCAACCAACCAACAACGCCCCCCAAAAAAAAGAAAAGAAAAGAAATGGATGTCAGTCTGGAGAAAAGGCAAAAATAGCTGGTGTGCCAGTTGGTGTGTGTGGCGGCTTGGATGAGAATTCCCCCCAGAGGGGTTTGAACATTTTGTCCCGAGTTGGTAGCAACGTTTGGGGAGGTTCAGAAGGTGTGTCCGTACTTGAGAAGTGTGTCACTGGGGGTAGTCTTAGAGAGCTGAAGGGCTGTTGCTTGCTGCCATGCGTTACCCTCACCCCCGGTGGTGGACTTCTATCCCCCTGGAACCATAAGCCAAAAAAAAAACTTTGCCTCTGTAAGTTGCCTTGGTCATGGTTATTATCACAGCAGTAGAGACGTAATCAGCACCGAGTGAGACAGTGATCTTCAGGGTTCCAGACTGTGAAATGCCTTCTCTTTCCCAGAGGCTGGTACTTCAGAGTTCAGTCTTCACACTCGTCTAGCAGAGCCCCCTTCCTAAACACCACATTCTATTGGCTTAGGGCACACAGCCTTGTCTAATGTACATCCTGGGGATGGAGATGCCGTCGTTTCTGGGCTCAGCCACATAGCAGACTGCCTGTGACCTTTCAACTCCAGGATGAACTGAGCGCGTATAAATAAGCAGGTGCCAGCAGCCAGCGAGGGAAGACGGGGGCCTGGTGCCCGCTGCTTACCTGTGACTCTCTGAGGAGCTCTAAGGGCACCTCACCCCGAAAATGCAACATAGTGATTTATTCCTTACTTGGGACAAGGGCTTGTATCTAGAAAAACTCCACCCAGTCCAATTAAAAAAAATAGGCAAAAGACTTGAACTGACATGTCACAGGAAAGGATGATGAGAGGACTCCCCTCAGACAGGACAGTCATCCACGCAGAAAGCCTCAAGGATGCTACAGAAACAGAACACAAAAACCTTCCAAGATGAAACCTGTGAGCTTGGCAGGGTGGCGGGAGAGGAGCCTCACACAAAGGCAACCAGACCCCCTACATCCTTGGCGTGCAAACTGAACCAAGGCACACTGCCGTTCCCAGGTGACTGAACATAGGGAGAACCGTGACGGAACCCCTAAAACACTGAAATAAACAGGATAATACACCAGATTTTGCAGAGGGAAGCTTAGTGTGGCTTAGATGTCAGTTTTCCACTAAACCCCACAAGATCCCTCCCCTCTCTCTGTCTCCCTTTGGTTCTCCTTCCAACCTTCTCCTTTTCTCCACAACTTCTCACCACTTTATTTTAAATTTTATTTATTAGTTGGGTGATGGTGGCACACACACCTTTAATTCCAGCACTTGGGAGGCAGAAGCTGGCAGTCTCTGTGAGTGCAAGGCCTGCCTGGTCTACAGAGGGAGTGCCAGGATAGGCTCCAAAGCTACACAGAGAAATCTTGTCTCGAAAACCCCTCACATTTATTTATTTCTTTTTTTTATGACATAGCACACTCTTTTATTTTTTTACTTAAGTTAGAAACAAGCTTGTTTCAATGTCAATTCCAGCTCCCTCTCCCTCCCCTCCTCCCCCGCCCTCCCTATCACACTCTTTTCATAGTTGAATCAGAAATATATGCATGTGTTTGTGCAAGTTTGTATATTTATGTATAAACACATTTACAGAAAAAATATATATTTATGTGCATGCATATGTGTGGATATCAGAGCTCAACCTTGGATGCCACTCATTAGTGGCCTTGCAAGTTTGTTTTTTAGGGAGGGTCTCTTCCTGGGAAGTGAGGCTCACCATTTAGGCTAGACTGTCAGTCAGCAAGCCACCAGGATCTGCTTACTTCATCACTGGAACTGCAAACACACACCAGCACATCTTTTTTTTTTTAATATGGGTGATGGAGATCAAACTCAGGTTCCAATTATTTTTAACAATCAGCTTATTCTATAAGGTTCCTTCTCAGATCTGACATGACCTACTTTAATCTTCATATTGTATGTCCTGTCTTATTTATTCATTTATTTATTTCTTATTACATTATTGTTATAGAGTCTCTATACTATGTAGCTCCGGCTGTCCTTGAACCCACTATGTAGACCAGGCTGGCCTCGAACTTAGAGATCTACCTGTCTCTGCCTCCTCAGTGCTGGGATTAAAGGAATGAACAGCCACACCCAGCTAATTAGTTGTCTTTGTATTTCTTGCTGTGACTTTCTTTCAAAACATTTTATAAGATTATTTTATTTTATGTGTATGCATGTTTTGTTCACATGTATATATGTGTATCGTGTACATCCTGGAACTGGAGTTATGGACAGTCATGAACGGCCACATGGGTGATGGGAATCTAACTCAGGTTCTCTGTAAGAACAAGTGCTCTTAACCACGGAGCAGCCCATTTTTTTATGGTTTGTGTGTATGTGTGTGTGTGTGTGCTAGGGCATGTTGACAAAGCAGAAAGCCAAGACTCTAAATAAAATAGAATCCAACAATATGAAAACAAAACATTGAGAAAAAACCATTACACACCACACCACTACAATGGAACTGGACTTGTAAGGAATGCAAAGATGGTTCAAAACCAGATGATGCCCTGCAGCTCACAGCAGAAAGCAGCTTATCAGCAGGTGATTCCTTTAGGATGTCCAGTCAGCATTTAACAAGGGTGGGTACCAACTCAAGACACTCATCCATGGTGGGATGCGTTTAATTGCTTTCAAAACCATCGGGGGACACCAAGAGCATGTTCCTTGGGGGTTTCCCCAGCGGCTGGATTTCCTGTCCTGTTTTCTTGCTCAGAAAATCCGGGGTAATTACTTTCTGCTCTGCCCTGCTGGTTTCTTTTAGGGAGCTGGCTTGTTTGGGTCTGTGTTGCTGTGCTTTGTTTGCTCTTGGTACCTAGCGGTGACTTAGGCCATATTGCGCTGCGCACTTGCTTTGTAACGTTCTGGCGGATGAAAAGGACTGAGCCAGACTAGGGAGACTCGGGGGCCGCAAACGGTCTTCATGTTATCCCACATGGATTGCCTGCCCTGGGAGTCCTTGTTCCGGTACATCATCTCATTTGTGGTTTTGTCTTTGTAGATGGCACACATCTGGATGCAGAACATCACCAAGGCAAGGATGAAGCCCATCAAAGCCACTAGGAAGAGGAAGAAGATGGGGGCAGGTGGAGATACGGTGCTCCTGGCATTCCACTCGCCCCGGGCGTGGCTGCGCACGACAGGGATGCCCAGCAGCAGCAGCACGTGGGTTGACATAAGCCCAATGTACAGAGTGAAGAGCAAGAAGTACTTCTGGTTGTTCTCACCCACGCAGTTGTTGACCCAGGGGCAGTGGTGGTCATTCTTGCGAATGCAGCGTTTGCACACCATGCAGTGGTAAACCCTCTCTGGTATAGCACTGAGGCAGAAGGGACAGTAGCACACTGTGTCAGGCCCGGGTGGGTTTCTCAGGGGCACAGAGCCAGGATCAGTTAGCATAGTCCGTAGGTGTGATACGAGTGCCAGGAAGGTCAGCAAATGGAAGCCCACACCGTTGGGCACGGAGTATAATTTGTTGTTAGATGGTTTGAGCACGTCCCGGACTAGTATCCATGCAGCGCTCAGCACCAGCGCCCACGTAGCAATGACGAAAATGATGCCCAGGGGGTCCCACACGAACCACCAGCGTTGCTTGGGGCCCTGCAGTGGGGTCTCTAGCCTGGTCGTGTGCTCAGAAGTGCCATGTGTTTGGGCCGGTGATTGCATTGTGAGAGTTCTCAGGCCTGCTTAACGGCCAGCATCCTGGTGGTAGACCCAGGCCCAGGAGGAGCCCCCAGAGAGATGAAGGTCCCTGTGCCTTGGCCCTCTCCTCCTACCTCACTTGTCTGGAATTGGTGCCTGCTGCCCTGGGCTGAGGCAGGGAGGGGCTGGGAGTGCTGCCTGACAGGCTGATCCTGGCAGTGTTCTAGAATGCTCCCTTAGATGGGTTTATGAACACAGAAAGGGCCCACTCTCCCTTAAGGCCTGGAGGAAGGCCGGGAGGCGGAGACACCCCTAGGTGCTGACCACTTACTTGGCTCTACCTTACCCACTCTGAGCTGACCTGTTAGAGCCACATAACTGCCGGGTAAACATTCATGACCTCTTTGCCTTGGAGAAACTGAGGCAAGAGGAAGTTAAATAAATTACTTCAAGAGACCAAGCAAGGGATTGGTCCAGAGCCTGGGCTTCTGCCCCGCCCTGCCCTGTGGATGTACAGTGTCTGTCTGTCTGCAGCCCCATGAAGAGCATCTGTCCTGTGGGAAAGGACCCCCGGGACCAGTGTGGAAATAGGACGGTTGATGGAGTGCTTGAGGCTCACTTAGGGACAGATGGGAAGTAAGACCATATTGGGTTGTGCTGGGGCCTCTCAGAGAGGCCTGTGACCTCTTGGTCAAACCTTCGGACAAGAGTTGGTCTGATTGTTGTTTCTGTCCACAGCCTAAATTTAGTGGTGTGGAGGACAAATCTGTGTGGCTGGGCTTCCTGCAGCACCACAGGTGGAGGGACCTGCTTGGCTGTGAACACAGCTGAGGTGAGCTTGGGTTGTGGGCACTTTTGGTTGGGTCGTACTCAAGGACTTGTCCATGCAGAGGCCAGGGCGCTTTGGGCTTCCCAGTGCACTGTGCCACTGTAAAACACAACACAACACAACAATCCTTGTGTTAGTCTGTAGAGCTGTGTGTGTGTGTGTGTGTGTGTGTGTGTGTGTGTGTGTGTGTATATGCCTGGGATAAACAACACCAGGAATCATTTCAGCTGTTCCTTGTGACAACACAATGGCCTTATGGCTCCGTGTTAGTCACTGTCATCACACCTAACAGAGGTTGGCATTCAGGGAACTAGGAAACTTCAGCTTGTGGTGAAAGGTCATTGTTGTCCCCACCATCACCTCAGCAGATTTCTTTGCTGTTTTGGGGTGATCTTTCTTTGGGCAGGTGGACCCTCTGTGAACACACACATCTCTCAGTGACACAGGCCGTTGGAGTCCTCCGCCATGCCGTCTCCAAGCCTTCTGTCCACCATGTTTCCTGCTGTTGGGGACTTTCTGGGCTGTTACCTCTCTCGACCCTTCTCACCTCACACATTTTTGACTTCCCTCATGTTCGCAGGAAGCCATCAGCCAAGTGTTTGAGTCTGAGTTGTGAAATCAGGAACATAGCTATCTTAACGGTTTTCTGTTGCTGTGAAGAGACACCATGATCACAACTCTTATAAAGGAAAACGTTTAATTGGGGGTGGTTCACTTACAGTTTCAGAGGTTCAGTCCATTGCCCTCATGTCTGGAAGCATGGCATTACGCAGACAAATGTGGTGCTGGCTACATCTGGCAGGGAACAGGAAGTTGACTGAAACACTGGGTGGTATCCTGAACATAGGAAACCTCAAAGCCCACCCCACAGTGACATACTTCCTCCAACAAGGCCATGCTCACGCCAACAAAGGCACACCTCCTAATAGTGCCACTCCCTATGAGATTATGGGGACCAATCACATTCAGACCTCCACAATATCTGTTTACCTACTTGTTCATCCCTGCCCCCGTGCATGGTGTCTCATGTAGGGCTCTCAGGAATCTGACTCTCAGGGACAGAACTGCAGAAAATCCTCTTGGAGTGGTGACGGGGCTTTTGGCATGAGCCTCTTGTATATTCTAGGCATTGGCATTCCTGTGTCTACCTGCCGGATGTCCCAACCAAACTTCCTGGATGCTCTGGCTGTTGTTCCCTCCATTTTTGTACACAAGTGTATGTAGTTGCTGTCTCCCCTCATGGCTCAGTTGGTGTGTGGGTTCCCTGTACCCTTCTGTGAGTGGTACCTATGCATTTTGTGCCCTCATTGGCTTTGCATGGACTGCTATCTTGCCTTAAATGTTTCTTCTCAATGGTGCATTGCCAGCACTGTACAGATAGCATGGAACTCCCCTGAGAACCACACACTCTGCAGTATGAGTTTGGTGACTTAGGTTCTAGGATTGGGCCCTAGTTAGGTTCTCTGTGTAGATCTTTGGGGTGAGCTCAGGATTTCCCTCTGTTGATGCCAACTGAGTGAAACCAGCAGAAAGGTAGTGTGTGAGAGGCTCCTGGATAGACTGGGGGTGGGGAAGAATGGAGCCTCAGGGTTTGAACATAACTTCAGGATGCTGGGAACAAATGTCTACAAGGCTTAGTCTATTGGCTGCCAAGATGTTCTGTTCTGGGACAGGAATGTCACATAGCTTGTCTATGGAGACTTGATGCCCCTGGTGTCCAGTTGAAGAGTTGCTGGACTGGGTGAAAGGGTTTGCTTCCTGTTGAACTCTTTGAGGGGCATGTTCCTTGTTTCTGGGTTTTCAAAGGCGAGGCCACTCTTCCTGTTTCTGTACTTTGGAGGGCACACTTCCTGTTTCCATCCTTTGGAAGACATGCTTTCTGTCTCCAAGCTTTGTCCTTGTCAGGTCCCAAAGGAATCTGGGACACGTCTCAGCATCTGAGGCTTCTCCCAGCACTTCTCACCCTAACCCTACCTTCAACCTCTCCAGCCCAGGGGCTGGGCTTTGCCCCCCCCAGCTTCTGATCCTGTGTAACTGTCATTCTGACTACCCGATGTGTTGGTTCCCATGTGTTCTCTAGGTCCTCTTGGCCCCCTCTTCCCCCCTCTCTTTTTCTACGCCCTGTTCAGTCTGGACCCTTCCAGATGCCTCTGGCTGCTCTCTCCCTCATATCTACAATAAAGCCTTTCTCTTCAGCCGTACCTAGGAGTGGGAATGTCTTCATTTTCATTCAGTCCTGCTATTTGCCCAACCAGGCTTCCTTCATCCTCAGCCCCCTTCCCCAGAATCTGTGAAATTCCCTGCAATTTCCATGCATTCTCCGAGGCATGCAGGGTATCCTAAGATTCCAGGTGGACACTTTCCAGAACATTCTGTTGTACATCAGCATTTTACCGGATTCCGTGGTGTTCTTCCATAATTAAGTCTGCCTTGTAGCTGCATCAGTTTCAGCTGTCGGACCTCAGAAGTTCTGAACATTCACCGGCTCATCTAAAGATACAGGGGTAGAAGTTCTAGTTGCCCATAATTGACCAGAGCACTTTCCCTCCTGCATCCTGCTTCTCCTTGCAACTGTAGCAGGTTGTGTCCTGAGGTCTCTTTTTCTTTTTCTTTCATTCTCTCTTCCTTCCTTCCTTCCTTGACTCCCTCCCTTCCTTTTTTATTTTTTGGAAACAGGGTTTCTCTGTGTAGCCCTGGATATCCTGGAACTCCCTCTATAGACCAGGCTGGTCTTGAATTCAGAGATCCACCTGCCTCTGCCTCCTGAGTTCTTGGATTTAAAGCATGTGCCACCACCGCATGGCATCTGGCTTCTTCTGCTTTTCTTATTTGACAATGTGACGTTGAGATCTAGGACATCCCTCAGTCCTGCCCTTCATGTTTCACTCACAGGACTTGCCTCTTGTTTTCCTGCCTAACATTTTGATTGACTTATTCATACACATTCTCAAAACTGGATGTTTTAAATGTTATTTTTTCTACACTCACAGTAGGATATGTAGTTCATCTCTTCTGAATTTATTATGCTTTTTACCCTGCCAACTTATTTGTGATTAATATTTGCAGATCCTTTGTGAATTTTGGAGGGGAAGCATGTGCTGTGTTTGTATATTCATTAATCAACCTTATTAACTACTTATTCCTATAGTTTCTTCTTCTTTTTTTGTCCATCTCAAGACAGAATTGTGGGTTAATTCTTTTACCACATTGCTTTGCTGTCAAATTTTCAAGTATTTTTATTTACCTTCCATTAACCTGTGTGGGTTGCTACTCTGCACATGTGGGTTTACTGAAGTAAGCTCAGTATTAGGGTTGTACCTTTTGTCCCTATGACACACTGTCTCCCAATCCCCCACACCACTGCTATTTTTGCCTTTGTTGTGTATAATGCCCTTAACTGTGGACACTTGTGATAGTTACTTTCCTCATTGATCACCAAATATCTGACGAGAAGCCACTTCAGAGGGAAAGGAGGTATCTTAGCTCATAGTTTGAGAGTGCCATCCCTCACGGTGGGGGAGACGTTGATTCGAACTTCAGCTCTGACCGCGGTAGGAATAGAAGATTTTTCTGAGACAAATATGAATGACCAGAACTTGTGGCCACAGATTCAGGTTGTCCTGCGTAACATGTTCCAATGTGGAAGAGGTAATGTGGTTTTACAGTTGCAGGATGGAAGAAAGTCATTAAGCCAGGCATTTTTAGACGCTGAAGGGGACAGCACAGTGGGAAGGTCTCTTCTGTAGGCCTCAGATACTTATCTGAAGCATTTTTAGATTTCTGGTTGGTGGAACCCAGTGGTTTGCTCAATTAATGTATCCTTAAAGGTTTTACCAAAGCTCTCAAGGATGGCACAGAGGTGAACAATGAACAACTATTAAGGGTCTAAAGAGAGCTCAGGATAAGTTGATCTTGTAACATCTGAACGTGGGCATATGCATATGCACAAAGCCTGGCCATGCACATCTGGCTCTGCTCAAGGACACGTCTGGGTTCTAAGTATGTGCTTTTGAGAAAGGATGTTCTCATAAATTACTTATGGACAATTTGTCAGGAATGAAAATACACAGGGATTGGTTTGCTTGGAGGTCCCCAGGCTCCAAGCATTCTGAAGCTACCCACTGTGTGTAGATGTGTAAAATATTTATGTAGATGAGCTGTGGGGCGCCATTTACTTTGCTTGATGTATTTGGGAAGCATCTGATCCAGGGATCTGGACCTCAGTCTCCTATGATGAGTGCGTTTGGCAGTGGTAAAGAGGGGGCATGACCCATGCCTGCAGAGAGGGAGCTGAGGCCAAGCAAGATGGGTGCCACTTCCAGGGGGACCTCCAAGGACTAAGAGTAGTTTTTGAAGGGTTATGAGGAGAGCTTGGGTCTTAGGAACATCACTCACACAG